GCTTGTATGTCTAATAGTGAAAACATAGATCCTCACCTTAGGGTTGCATGCACACATAAGATTGTTTGTTATATACAAAACCCATCACTCTCATGAGATCATCACTTTTGTGCTCTATGGCCACTACCTGTAATACCAAAAACTGAGTGGGTCAAGCTTGGGAGCCCGGTGAGCACATAGGGTTTTCAACCCACAATAATTAAGTTTATTAATTTTATCAAATCAATCAACACGATTACCCATTCCCGTTATACTCACTTTATGTCCCTAAAGCATCTAAATTAAGGGGCCTAGCCTAAGGATTTTCATCGGGATGGACAACACTGCTTAGGGGATTCCTTAGCAATATATGTCAAAAAGGCAACCATGAGGGGGATAGAGTACACCTGGTGAACACGTAGTTCAAAAACACCTACATGTTGCGAGCCTGACAACGTTCCACTAGACTGTCTAGAATAGTCTGTGGTCGTAATCTACTCCACTAGATGAGTGAATCAGCTTAAACATCGAGGTCTCTTTTCAATTATTTCATCATCTATATCATCTACCCATCTTTACCCATCATAATTATAGGTATAAAATACATATACAGTTTAAATAAAACATGTATATTTTGTTCATCTAGTATAGATATCAAGAACACAGATCATATGCACACATAGCACGTAATTTATATTAAATACTTCACATCTATGGGTAAGATGAAAGTAACACTACAAGAAAAAGACCCTTTTACGATGCGCAAACCACGACACTCATTGATTTATGTTACGCAAAAGAGAGTGACATTAAAAAAGTGTCATCTCTTCAAAAAATTTAAGGATTTAGGTCACGCAATATTGTGTGCCTTTAAATTAGTGTCTAATGTAAAAAAAAACGGAGCGCACTTTATCTAAAATGTGCATCCTCTATAAGCGTCGCTTTATAATTTTAAAGAAACGCGTGTTTAGTAGATATGGGGGGAAACGAAATCCCCAAAATTTTGAAAACCCGCTTTTCTACCTTCTTTCTTCTTTCATCTCCGCAATCGATTGTCCCCTCTCCCTCCTTCTCCCTCTTCTCCGATCCGCTTCACCATCTTCAGTAAGTCAACCATGGAGGCTTAGATATACATCGATTTGGGTCCAAACCCTCCCAAAACCCTCTCCTCGACTCAAAGCGAAGAGATGAAAAACCGCCACCACCCGCGTCTGCAACAACCGACAACAACTACTCCGTCTACAGGCAAGTAGGTATGTATGCTTTTGGTCTCTCATTGGTTTCAACTTCTTCATCAGTCTTCTCCCTTATAAACCCTAGTGTAACAGTGTCGATGAATGATAAGAAATTCATCGAGTCTGCATTACTATCTGACCTTAGAGTTGATGGTAGGCGTCCTTTCGATTATAGAAAACTATCTATCATCTTCGGAAGGTAAGAACTCCCAAACTCATCACTTGATTTCGTATTCCGTTGGCTAAAAATAAACAGTTTGTTGATGAACGATGAGTTTTTCATATTGTAGAGAAGATGGTTCATCAGAGATCCAGCTTGGACAAACTCGAGTTATGGGATTTGTCACAGGACAACTAGTACAACCTTATCGAGACAAGCCTAATGAAGGGACACTTGAAATCTACATTGAATTCTCACCCATGGCGGATCCTTCATTCGATTCAGGTCGTCCTGGAGAATCTGCTATTGAGTTGGGGCGTATTGTAGATTGTGGTTTAAGGTATGATAGTTTATTTACTTGCTTAAGCTTCTATTTTTCAAACTTCTGGTCTTCTGGACTTCATCTTAATTTTTTTTTCAAAGTTGTGATTTAAATGATTACATCCATATATGGTCAGCATAAAGACATGGAACACCCATATATAGCAGATTAAATCTTGTCCCTATTAAGCTATTATGTAAACAAGAAACAACACTTCAAAACAGTTATACTATATAGATTCATGAAAAAAGAGATATAGCGAAACCAAACCTACTTGATGAGATTAACTTTGCAGGGAAAGCAGGGCAGTAGACACTGAATCACTTTGTGTCATTTTAGGGAAATTGGTATGGTCTATTTAAGTTTATTTAATTTTATTTTTTTATTGTTTTTATTTAATATGTTAAGAGTTAATATATTATTAAACAAATCTTTTTCGAAGGGTAATAGCAGCAAACTTGAAGAACTACCCGAGCAAGTTTTCTAAAGCAAAGGGAAGGAGAGTTGGTTCAAGAAAAGGATGAGGTTAAGAAGCTTGCAAGTTTTCTAAAGCAGGTTAGTAATAGTATTTCATTATTTTAGTTTATCACCTTAAAGAAATTATTTTTTCTCTTGTATTTTTGCTGTTTAGTTTTGGTAAAGATTTATAATTACATGTAGGCTTCAGAAGATGCAAAAAAGCTTGTTGATGAAGAGAGAGCTTTCGCAAGAACTGAAATTGAGAAAGCTAGAGTTGCAGTTCAGAGAGTGGAAGAAGCTCTTCAGGAGCAAGAAAAAATGTCCCGAGCTACAGGGACATAGGTTTGTTTGTTTAGAGTTATAGTGCTAATTTATGTACCTTTTATCGCAAACAATTACTATTTCTTTCAGACACGCATGGGTGACTATCTCAAAGATGTGGCATTCTGTCATATCCAAAAGATTACAGATACAACAGCTGAATCAGGACTTGAAG